GGACCATTTGTATTTTTATTTTGTTTTGTTCATTTCTTTTATTGACTTTATTCTTTAAATCAACGTTAAATAAAAAAATCACAAAAAATTAGGTTCTAGTATTTTTATTAAAATTAATTTCGTTAATTAATTATTAGTTACTTAAACATTTTTTATAAATTAAAATTATGTAGATTTAGATTTTTCTTTTTCTTTTATTAAATAAAAAACAAACAAAATACTTTTTCCTTCTAGGATTTAGACGTATTCCCAATTCACCCGCGTTTTTACCTTTCACATTTTTATTTCATATTTTTGTATATGTCTACTGGATGTAATATATTTAAAATAGGATATTTACTTATTTATCTCCCTCATTTTTGGACATGTAATAATCCCCCTCCCCGAAGCCATGTAATAGCGTAGCTTTAATTTCCGTACTTTAAATTCCTGTACAGATATTAACTGTTAGATGCATGTTAATAGGATTGCATGATAAGACTAAAAGTGAATGTTAGCAAACCTAACACAAAGATAAATAACTGAAACAAACGCACTTGCACATGCACACCTCTAGGGTACCCCACTTTGGTTGCCTTTGGAAAATAGTCACAACTCTCGAAACGTGACAAATTTTAGTGGCTACCCTCCGGTTTAAAAAGATCATAAGTCCCTCGATGGCCCTCTCGATGTTGCCTCGGTAAAAATGATCTTAAAACCCTAGGGTAGTTACTAATATTTCTCACCAAGTTGCCTTCGTGACTATAAAAAGTCCCTTTGAATGTCCCTCATACATCCAAACGACTAAGGCTACCTACTCACTAATAGTAGGAAAGCACTATCTAAAGGAAAGGACGAAAATAACGAACCTTTCGAGTAAAGTAGATAGTTCCTAGATGCTATGCTCAAAAACAAATTTTTACACTTACACAAAACAAATTTTCAAAAATGCTTCATCAACACTCTCGAGGATTGATACAAGAGTTATCATAAAGCAAATCGCCGCACTGAGACATTTCAAAATACTTTTAAAAATACACAAAAGCACAAGGTATTTCAAAAATGAGCTAAGAATCTAAGAGCCCGTAGAAAACTACTGATGGAAAGGGTGCTAACACCTTCCCTTTCCATAATCTACCCCCCTTACTCAGAAAACTATCGAAAGGTATTTTTTTGTTCTTTTCACCCTTTCCTTTGTTGGATAAAAGAAAAGTCGGTTGCGACTCTTGCTTACCACAACATTTGTGAACACAAATGCCGAAAGAGTATAATAGTAGGTTTTGCCACAGTATCACAGGATGCCACTAATGTTATTTATCATTTTTTCTTACATGACTGAATTATACCTTACTTCAACTCTAATACCACTGTGTTGATTCACAAAACTGTTGAAGCTGAAAACATCAACCCGTTCAGACCTATATCCTTAGCTATCTTTAAGCACAAAATCATTAACAAAATTCTTGCTGACAGGCTTGCTACTCCCCCTTCCATGATCTCTCCTGAACAAAAGGGCTTTATCAATGGTAGAAACATAAAAGATAACACCTGTCTCACTTTTAAAGCAATTAACCTTCTTAACTCTAAGAGCTATGGTGGCAATGTGGCTTTAAAGGTTAACATTTCTAAAGATTTGGATACTCTAAGTCGGTCCATTCTTCTCAAAATCCATGATGCTTTTGGCTTTAATTCTAAATTTGTAAATGGATACATGTTATTTTTTTGTTCTACCTTTCTTTCCATTGGCATAAATGGTAAGCAAGTTCGATTTTTCTCTTGCTCCAATGGAGTAAGACAAGGATACCCTCTCTCCCCTCTTCTCTTTTGAATGGCTGAAGAAGTGTTGAGTAAAGGGATATCAAACCTTGTTGCTGAGAAGAAGTTACACTCGATCAAAGGTTCTAGACACTATTATGTTACTTCTTATACATTATATGCTGATGACATAATGATTTTTTGTAGGGAGATCAAAAATCCATCAAAGCCATTGTCAATTTGCTGACTAGATATGTTGCTTGTCCAGGGAAATTTTACAATGCTGCTAAATCTCTTATCTTTGTTGGTGCTATGAGAAAATCAAGACATAAGCTCTTTTCTGATATGGTTAGATTCTCTATTGCTTATCCTTCTTTCATATACCTTGGTGTTCCCATTTTTGTTGGTAAACCTAAAGCTTATCACTTCCTATTCATTGTTGATAAGGTTAGAAACAAGCTGGCAGCTTGGAAAGCTAGCCTTATTTCGATTGCTAGAAGGGTTTAATTAGTCAAAGTTGTGATTCATAGCATGTCGATCTGTATGTCTATTTATAATTGGCCTGCTAGTATCATTCACTCCATTGAGTCTTAGATGAGGAATTTTATCTGGAGTGGCACCTTGGATAAAAGGAAAGTTGTTATTGTGTCCTGGATGACTTGCTGCAAGAGTCTTAATGAAGATGGCCTAAGGATCAAATCTTTGAAATTTGTCAATAAAGCTTCTAATTTACAACTCTATTGAAGTTTTTTTCATGCTATTTCTTGTTGGTCTCAGTTGCTTGGTACAAGGGTCATTAGAAACAATAGAACCATAAATTATAATATCAAGTCTTCTTTATGGAGTAGCTTCAAAGATTGCTTCGATTTGGTTAAAGATCATACTCATCATATTAATGGCAATTGTGCTTCTACTAACTTCTGGTTGAACAATTGGATGAATGAGCCGTTGGCCAATAAATTCAAGATTCTCGAGATATTCAAAATAATTCTTGGAATATTCACGATAATATCAAATTTATTTTCCCTTCTCTTCAATCTCTCTTGGAATTTGTTCCTATCTTAGACATGGATGATGAGATGATTTGGATGGATTGAAACAATATGCTCCTAACCATGAAGCAGGCCTATCGTTTGTTTAACAAACCTAATACCTATTTGTTCTATAATTCCTTTCCTTGGAACTCTAGTATCCCTCATTCTCGATATGCACAATAAGCTCCCATCTAATAAGGTCGTGATTACTATAGGTCTTGCTTTACTTTCTATTTGTGATCTTTGTAAAAGTCATACTGAATTCGCACAATATTTGTTTTTTAACTGTTCTTTTGCTCAACAAATTTGGAACTGGTTTGTTAACACCTGCAATATTCAGTTTCCCATCTAGAATTTCATTAATTGTAAGAATTCCATCTTGTTTCACTGGTCCCCTCATACTCAAACAATTATCAAAGTTTGTATCATCAACATCTTTCACCAAATTTGGTCTGCTAGAAACATCTCTAGATTTGATGGTAAAAAGTATAATTAGAGAACCTGTATCAACTTTATCTTGGCTAAGGTTCAAATTGCTGGAAATCATTCGAATTCGAAATCAGACTCCTCCATTGCTAGCTTCATCCTCCTTAAGAATTTTGGCATTCAAATTCACTCTAGGAAACCTTTAGAAACCAAAGAGGTTATGTGACACCCTTATCATAGTGACTGGATTAAATACAATATTGACGGTCTTGCTAGAGGAACACCTTCGATTACGACTTGTGGGGGCATTTTCCAGAATAATCAAGTCATTCATGTTGAAAGCTTTTGCTGTAATTTAGGCATCAAGATTGCTTTGACAACTGAATTCAGTGCTGTCATTTTTGATTTGGAGGAGGTCATGAAGAAGCTTTGGGATTATATTTGGATTGAATCAGTTTCCTCCTTGGTGGTTCAAGCTTTCTCCAATCATGGTTTGGTTCCTTGGAAGCTCAAAGCTAGATGAAGGAAATGTGTTGCTTATACTCAAACTATTGACTTTATGGTTACTCACATTTATAGGGAAGAGAATGCCTGTGCTGATTCTCTTGTAAATATAGGTCTTTCATGTAGCTCTTACACTTGGTTAAATTATCTTCATAACAACATCGAGAATGATTATTTGCTAGACAAGTGTGGTACCCCTAGACTTAAAATTTTCTTTTAAGGTGTCTTGGTTTAGTCCCCAGTATTCTTGTTTTTTTCTTATCTTTTTTTTTATATCCTTCTTTTGCTTAAAAAAATGTTTAATTTTTATTTTAATATCTTTTAAAGTAATATATTGAATAATTACGATGCATTGATGATGTAAATTTTTTAAGACTAATAATGGACAACAATTAAATTTTAAAGATTTAATTTTTTATGCTAAAACATATATTTATTATTATTATTTTTCAAAATTTTGCGATGTCAAAATCTACTTTATTCTATTAAAAATAATATTTATTTAAATAATTAGAATGAATTTAAAAATAATATAAATTCAACGAGGAGGAGGGTTGTTTGCAGTGCAACTTGAATCAATTTTGAGATAAAAATTAATCTGATTCAAAGATAAATTTACTCATGATTTAGTTTATTTTAGATAATTGATTAAAAAAAATCTGATTCGATCCGATTCAGTTTCATGCAAATAAATTTGAATTGATTTTTGGATATTCAAATTACAAATTATATATTTATTAAAATTATAAAAATGTTAATGGATAATAGATTTGATATAATATATAACATGTAGCATATTAAAATTTATGTTATAAAATGAGAATGTTCGATTATAGTTGAAACAAATGAGAATAATAAATTAACATAACATATAATAAATATGGGTGTTCAAATCCAAACAAGTCCAAATAAAAATTGTAAATCAATTCAAAAAAATTGAATACCACAAAAAATCAAAATTTATTAGATGTGTTTGAATATCATTTTGTGAAAATCGATCGGTTTGAATCAGATTTTAAAATTGACCCAAACCATAAAAAAAAAAATATAATTTAATAATCTAAATCAACAAAACATTAAAAAAAAATTAAAAAAAAAACACAGATAAAAATGTACTAGAAAACCAAATCAAATCCGAAAGAAAACAACATATATAAAAGTAGAAAAAAAAAGACATTTAAGATCTAGTTAAACTCTTAACTATTGAATCTCTTAATTTATCAAATTTAATGAAGAAGAAAAACGTATTAGAGAAGAATGCTCCAAATCTAGAACCCATTTGAATGAACATGACTGAAAAAAATGCTTCCCCGGAATAACCGTTACACTGTTCCGACGCTATTCTTCCTCGCATTGTTCCTTCTCTCTGTCTTCTTCTACTCATTCTTCTTCTTCAACACAACCACTCTTCAAACACCTCTCTCTTATAGTTCAGATCTCTATATTCGAGTCAAACCTTCTCCGCTTCTCTCTCCGCCACCGCCACCGCCACCGCCACCGCCGCTATCCTCCTCCAGCGGTGACGACGCTGTCAGTGTCGCTGATCACGAATCTGTTGATGTTACTGATTCCGGTAACGTTGATGATGCAGCTTTAGGTTTGAAGGGATGTGATTTGTATACGGGAACATGGGTGGAAGATGAGAATTATCCGATATATGAACCGGGTTCTTGCCCTTACGTTGACGAGGCTTATGATTGCAAGAACAACGGAAGGAATGATACTCGTTATACGCAATGGCGGTGGAAACCTTATGCTTGTGATCTTCCTAGGTTTGTATCTCTATAACGCATTTCTTAAGATTCGTTTGTTGCGTGTGCGATTTGGAATGTGCAATGCTTTTTACCTATTTGAAGATTAAAACTACTATTTGTATGTTTGAGAATCATGTTTGAAGATAAAACAACTAACAATTTTATTTTAGAGTCAAAATCAATTCTAGAACCTCCAGTTACACCAAAATCAATTTTAAGTTTTCAGAATCACTATTGCTGGTCCATTTCATATGTGAGATGATTCAACTTTTTGCTGATCAAAATGTGTTATTGAGAATGTCGTTTTTAAGAATTAATGCATCAGAGAAGACTGTTACAAATTTAAAGGAAAGTTTTACCATAATGTTGTATTGGATTAAATAGTGGACAATACAGAGCCTTGAGTTCAATGTTGGAGAAAGATTCAAATGTTATATTAAATGAGTAGGGTCACATAGGGCAAGATAGGATAATAAAATAGAAAGAAAAGCTTTATGCAGAAAGTTGCAGTGGCACCGGGTCTGGGAATAGAAAAGAAGTTAAAATCTTGTCTCAAGTTATTTGGACAGGAATGGAAAAAGACTTGTAAAATTGAAAAGCTCCAAGGTAAAAAAATGAATTTTAGTATCATGATACTCATGCCATGAAAACTGAAAAGCATGTTCAACTAATTAGCTTGTTCCTGTAAAACACTGGTTCAGGAAGTATCCATTCTATTTGTAGAAATATTTTTAAACTTGTTGGAACAATTTTGAAAAGTTTCAACCATAGCTTCTGTTGATATGGTGAGAAAAGTTGAGTTCTGTGTTAGCAAATGACAAAAAAAAAGCAAAAGAGTCATAATGCAATAGTGTTTTTCAAACAGCTACCTTTTGCTGTTGATCTGTTTGTTAGTAGTTTATTGGAAAGTTAGTTAATTTTTTTTATGTTCTTCATTCACTTCTTTCACATATTACTGTAGGTTCAGTGCCAATGACTTTTTGGAAAAACTGAGAGATAAAAACCTAATGCTGGTAGGAGATTCTATGAACCGAAACCAATTTGAGTCCATTCTGTGCATACTTCGTGAAGGCCTACAGAATAAGAGCAAAATGTATGAGATGCATGATCATAAAATAACAAAAGGAAGAGGATACTTTATTTTCAAATTTGAGGTAATTTTTCCTTCTTTTCTAGCCCTAGATTCATGCAAGCACCAATTACATGACCTACTTTATATGATTTTCTTTTAGAAAAAAAAATTCATTTTTCAGTCATCTATTAACTTCCTTTGTAAGTTTGTCTCTTCCAAGATTTTATTGGCGGGAATAAAAATTGTTTTTAAATTCTAACTCAATCTCTGCGATTATATTATTTTGTTTGTTCTAAGCTTTTGAAACACTGCATTTCATTATGCTAAGCTTTTGAAACACTTGAGCAGGACTATAATTGTACAGTGTCATTTGTGAGATCTCATTTCCTTGTAAAGGAGGGAGTTCGCTTGAATGCACAAGGGAGTTCAAATCCTACATTATCAATAGATCGAATTGACAAGACATCTAACCGTTGGAAGAGGGCTGACATTCTCGTCTTCAACACCGGGCATTGGTGGGCTCATGGAAAAACTGCACGAGGGTTAGGATACAATTATTACGTATTTCATATATTGATCGATTTATGCATTCAAATTGTGTACACTCAAATTTGTAAACTCGTTGTACTGCGTATATTTATCTCCCCCATGTTTATTGAATTCTAATCCGGTTAAGTAATAACAGCATTTCATCCAGATAATTGCTGCAAGCTGAATGACGGTGCTTGATTTGTGCAGAATAAACTATTACAAAGAAGGGGATTATCTATATCCAAAATTTGATCAAGTTGAGGCTTACAGAAAGGCTATAACAACGTGGGGAAAATGGATCGACAATAATATCAATCCAAAAAGGCAGACGGTCTACTATCGAGGATATTCTTCTGCTCATTTCAGGTATCAATGTTTTTTTCAGATATTATTCTGTTGCATAAATTCCTTATCCTTAAGTCATATCATATGGCTGACGAATCTGTGACAGGGGTGGAGATTGGGACTCAGGTGGATCATGCAACGGTGAAACCGAACCGGTTTTGAATGGTTCCATCTTGAATAACTATCCTTTGAAAATGAAGATAGTGGAAGAAGTGATTCAGAGAATGAAGATTCCGGTAAAGTTATTAAATGTCACAAGGCTGACTAATTTCCGCAAGGATGGCCACCCATCTGTCTATAGTAAGAGCTTAGTGGATGGAAAGAAAGTGTCCACGAGGCGGCAAGACTGCAGTCATTGGTGTCTTCCCGGGGTCCCTGATGCATGGAATGAATTAATTTATGCCACTTTGGTTTTACAACAAACAAATTCAAGGAATTGACTCATAGACGAAGACAACAAAATCAGTTTTATTTTTTGTGCGGGAAAAAATAGAAGTAAACAATTGTTCAAACATGAAAGAATCAACACTAGTGGAAGAGGATTTTCCATTGATGGTTGAATTTACACCCAATGAAGTCAGCAGAATCGGGTTACATTTTGTCCATTGGATCGCGATCTGTTCCTTTGCTTGATGTGAAAATCCTTTGGATAAGCTTATTCATCAAGTTTCTCTTAAATGTTAGAAGAATAGATAAATTAACCAGGCTTTGTGGTGTAGGATTGAACCTTAACACATTTTGATGTATAAGGTTCTGTGAATTTTTTATATATTGTATGTAACATTAACTTCTCTTCATTGGTGTCATTTTCACACTTAGAGGTCAGGTATGTTTCTCTTTACATCTCTATTTTATTGTTCCTGCTTATTTATTATCCACTCCTTGCTATTGTCTGTTGTATTTAAATTCATTTTTTCCCTCTCCTCAAAATGAAAATGCAATGCCATCGGCGCATCTCAACCATTCATAAATAATACTTTTGATGAGATTTAAGAAAAAATTAATCACCTATAAATATTTAACGGTCGTGATGTATTGATGGTGTAAAAATTCTTTACACTTTCTATGCATATCAATTAAATTCATAAGTCAATTAACAATGATATTCATGTTTTCATTTCCAATGTAAATTAAAATTCATTTTACTCTCTATTTTTCACATTCGCAGGCATGAATAATTTCATAAATATTTAAAAAATAGCTTTTGACTGAATTTATATACTTGTACAGTATTTTTTTTTATAATTTTAAATTCTTTAAAGTTTTATTTTTTAGCTATAACTTTTCTCAGATGATTTTCTTTAATAAATAATATATCATACCAAGTTTAAATAAGTGAGATATTTCAAAGTAAATGATACATACTGTTAAAAGATATTATTCTCTACTTGTCTTTAATATATAAAAAAATTACTTATTTTTATATTCATTAAATGATCAATATATTTTTAATATATTCATTAATAAATATATTGATTATTTAATAAATCTAATAACTTTTTTATTTTATTTTATATTAATGGTTAGAGAGTATCTTTTTATCATATTCAGTAATGTCATTGAACAAATAGTTTTTATAAAAAAACATATAACAGTGTATTTTATGAATCAAGATATTTTTATATATTCATATCAAACATTATATAACATTATGATTTAGGAGACTTATCTCATAGGTCTTCCTCTCATAATTCTTAAGACCCCGTCTCTATTCATATTTATATTTTCTTATAACACGAGAAAAAAATCTTTTTTTTTAATCTGTTGGGATTAATAAATTTGAAAAAAAATATTAAAAAAAATTAAATATAAGAAAGATATGGTAAAGTAATGTTGGTAAAGTAATGTTGCTCTTGAAGATGGAGGTTCTTTGTAGGAGATTCAGGGTTATGGAGCAATATCCTGATAGTTAGATAAGGTGATATCTCTATCTCATCTTATAGTTGAGGTAGGGTAAGAGTTAGATAGGGTGATATCTCTATCTCATCTTATAGTTGAGGTAGGGTAAGAGTTTTCGTTCTTTTTCGTCTTGGCGGAAAGAGATATCTCTCGCGGGAATTAAAGAAGGTAATTTAGATTAGTTTTCTGAAGACATTGCTAGGAAAATGGGGCCGTGTTTTCATACTTTCTTTTGGGAGGATCTTTGGTTAAGGAACATGCCTCTAAATATAAGTTTCCTAGTTTATTCTCCAATTCTCTCTAGTCAGACGGGATGGTAGGTGAGACAAGAGAGGTTATCAATGGGGCCCTGACCTGAACCTTAGATGGATGAGATCTCTCTTCTTTAGATAGTTACCTATTTTTCAGGAGTTTCTTTCCTTGCTTAGAGATGTTATCCTTACCTCTGACAGAGATAAGTGAATTTGAAAGCATTCTAGTGACAATACTTTTTCAGTGGCCTCCACTTACTTAGTCCAGTGGTGGAGTTAGAATACTTATATGGACCCATCAACATTTCAGAGTCGTATCCTTTCCCTTATTTAGAGTAGCTCCATCAACACTTTAGAGTCATATCCTTTCTCTTATTTTGAGTAGTTCCATCAACACTTCAGAGCGATATCTTTACGTGAAAAAATTATGGTAATGCATCTCTGTGTAACGTACAGAGATGCGTCTCCGAACGTTGTATAATAAAAAACACGCTAGAACTCTTTTCTCCTTCACCACTTCTAAAAAAACACTTTCTTTAAACCTCTCAAGTTTCTCAAACTCTCTTTACTCACTTTCTCACAAAAGTATTCAACCAACTTCAAAGTTTCTTTCATCAACATCATGTCGATAAATGAGCTCACTCAACACCGAACTCAACTCACAATTTGCAAGTTTTTAATTTTTCTAAACTTTTTTGATTTTCTATATACATTTGTAGAAATGGATGATTAGGTTATGTAATAGGTAGTTTACACATGTTATGTAACTGAGAAACATGTTTGATATGTTGTTTTATTGTCAATGCACTTTTTTGGATGTTTTGAGGGACTGAATGTATGCTATTGTTGCTATTTTGGGTTGTAGAAAATTCTAGAGATGCATCTCTGGAACTTTTCGATGTTTTGATTCCCAAAAATCATAAATGCATCTCTATAATTTATCAGTCTGTGTTTTTTGGGGACATTTTTGGCTTGAACTCTTTATGTTTCATATTTATCATGCGTGTGTGATTTAATTATAGGCATTATGGCTGATAGGCAAGACAAAATGAGGCAGAACAAGATTTCTCATCATGCATCAGTTTAGAGGGAAAAGACTCAACTATCCCAGGCACCTGTTATTTTTAGCATGTTTGATGTGGATGCGTCATCTTCTAGGGCTCATGCATTTACACCTTCTTCTTCTCGTATGAGACGTGTGTCACATACTCATGCATCTTCTTCTATGTTTTTATGTAGGAGACATGTTTCACCTTTACAAGCACACGATGCATTGGAGGTACCCGAGAGTCACCAAAGGAACCCAAGATACCCCATGCACAGAAGGCAACAGAGGCACCCCAGACACAGGAGGCACCTCAACTACTTAAGGGCTTTGGAGGAGGCCTACCAGACTTTTCATCGTTGTCTCTTTACCCAGACAATACAGCCAGACATGTCTAATGCCTGTTGGATCTTCTGATTAGGGGGAAATTTTTAGACCATGACAAGATCAACAAAGATAATGCACTAGAGATGTTGATAGACTATCTGGGAGTTGACCCAGAGGATTATGTGAAGAAGTTATAAGCCACCCGAGGGTGTCATGCTAGGTTTCAATTCCCAAATAGGGTGTATACACAGGAGCTGCATATAGTAGAACATATTACTAGTAATGACGAGCATGTTGCGCAACATAATGCATACTCTTTGCAAGCATACCTATTTTATTTGGTTGACGCATCCATTTTTATGGACAAGAGTGCCACTTATATGGATATCATCTACTTGCAATACTTTGATGACTTTGAGCAGATTCATGAGTACAATTGGGAGCCTCTTGTTTTGTCTACTTGCACTTCAAGTTATCTGAAGGTTATATGTGGAAGACCAAACAAGTGATAGGCATCATCACAATATTGATGGTAATATTTATGCATCTTTTAGTGTTTGTGTCATTGTTAGCTAGAATTTCGACGATATATAATTTGGAAGAATATGAGAGGATGTCACGGGAAGTTCAAATTTTCAAAGGAGATGTGAAGCTGGTTACTTAAGGTTCTTTCAACTGACTCATTAAATATTTTGAGAAGTCTTATTATTGTGGAACGTATATGGACTTAAAGATATTTCATGTTTTGAATTCTAATAATTCGACAGATCGTATAATGATGTTTGGCGTTTTGGATTGAAGGCTAATTTTGAATTCAAATATTTCGTTCTTATCCAGAAGGACGCGTGGAAGTCTGAGGATTTGAGAAAGCATGTAGCATCAAACTTGGAATGTCTATAGTAAAATATCGATATGGTCAAAATAGTATAAATTAGGGTCTTAATGTTAGATTTTAGTGTGTTCACTTTTGTACAAGTTACTCATAAAACTCAAAGTACCAGTGTTTAGAGAAAAGAGTCTTTGAGAATGTACATATGAATCACCATATTTTAATTAATTTTCAGTTTATATTTACCAAAATATGTTTCATCCCTTTTACTTTTAAGTCGAAGTCTTTTTACTTTCCTATAGTCACTTTACATAGAATTTATGTCTTTTACACTTTAACCATAACTATGAAAAGATGAACATTCGAAAGATATAAACCAACAAAACACAACACATGTCTTAGGATCAATCTAGTCTATCATGTAAGTTACCATAACTTTTATAATTCAGAAGACTAGCGGTTGTTTATCAATTTTCACAGTAAACAAATTGGCACACCTGGTGGGACAGTGTCGTGTTCGTGTCACAAGCTCTGTATTTTGTTTTATTTTTAGTTTATCTTGTTTGACATTGTTGTATGAGATTAAGGAGTGGAAATTTATCCAGAAATAACGAACAAATTCCAAAAAGAAAATATACTAGAAGATGGTTAACCCACCACCCAACAACAATGGAGAACAACCACCCCTTCGATAGGAGAAAGTACGGTTACGTTATCTGCAACCGAGTTGATACCTATTCTAGCAAATACAATGGGAACATTGATGAACGCTTTCACCGGCCCAATTATGTCTCCAGTACGGTCGCAGAGTTCCCCAGCGAACACAAGGCCACCATGGGCAGATAATTACAGGCATTTTTCATCTGGATTCATAATACCAATGGATGGCCGTGAATGACCATATGGCATGCCAACGTCAATAATGGCAAGCCTTAATAATAGTACTTTAATATTTCCTGACCTAAGATTGTCAACATTTTCACTAGTACAAGGATCAGGACCAGGAGTCAACAATATGGGTCGAAATGTCCCTCCCCCAGGATTCGTTTCACAGTTGCCTAACTTAACAACGAATTCTGCAGCGGCATA